TTCATAACAAACCAATCGTCAAACAACATATCACATTTTTATTTAAACATTCTTCATCCTCCTGTCCGTTTACAGTATCCACCCAATAACTGTGTTTCCGCATATAAGTTTGAACCCTGGAGAATGCTACTGTGTATTGGAGGAAAACGACTGTGTAAATATAAGTGTGATAATGACGTTGGAGAGCGAATCTTACATTTTTGTCATGTCCCAGACTTGTACGGAAAATCTTCGAGCTTTCAGTACAAAATCTCACAATCGTTTTTTTTTTTTGTTTTGTCAATTATATTGTTGCAAAACAGACATGATTACACCTATTATAAAAGATACAACTGCTTTTAAAGGTTCATTAATTTGACCGGTTTTGTGTAAATTGTGGTAAATGCTTGCTTGATAATACTTCGGTTATTTATAGGTGCCATTTCGCCCTTGCCCCGATGACTCAGAAATAAGTCTGAGGGCTTATAACGTTAAAACCAGGTGCCGATATCCGCGGTAGTCAGAGCACAAGATAGCCCATTGTGTAACCTTATTCTTAACAACGAACAAACATATCTTGTCGTACATTGATGTTGTTAGCATATTAACGTATTACTGAATATTTTAATAAATTATACTCAATAATTGTCAACACAATGGGCCATCTGTGTTCTGCCCACCACGAGTATCGAAACCCGCAGGCACACAGCTTTGAAATTGGGGAGCTTCCAAAAATTTCCTTAACTCATTGCTTGATTTCTCATGTGTATGTACTTTAAATATAAAGAAGTGGGCAAACACAAATCTTTACAGTAAAGAACAAAAGGTCGGGGAGAAGTGTAGATGTATAAGAAAAAAATGGAGTAATACTCAATAAGGAGACTGAGACTTTGCCACTGGGAGGCTATTCAATAATAAAAGTTTCCTTTTCTTATATTTTACCATTTCGATTAGGCTTATTTGTATGTATTACATTGGATTTTTAAACGTTTTAAATTTGAAATATTATCCCTGATGAGTAAAAATAATTTTACCATTCTTATATTTGAATATTGCATTGTGTTTACTGTTTTTCACACCACATTCAATAATTAATAACGATGAAACACACTATAGCTAGCTAACTAAATAAATAAAACGCAGCTTATTTCCTGTGGTAGCACAACAGTTATTTTTATGGAGTTACTAAACTACTGATCTAACGTTTTTTTACACCACATTCAAGAATTAATAACGATAAAACACACTGAATAACTAGGTAAATGAAACTCAGCTTATTTCCTGTGGTCACTGTGGCTAACTGGATAAATAATACAGCTTATATCCTGTGGTAGCGCAACAGTTATTTTTATGGAGTTACTAAATTGCTGATTTGGCGTAACGAGGACGCCTTTTATATGTAAAAGCTACGTTTGTAATACATCTGCAAGCTGGAAAATGGCTTTACAGGATATAAGATAGGATAGTATTCCTACATTTGCTTGTTTTGAGATGTTAAAGCTTATAACTACTAAATATTAAAATTCTGTTTAAGAGCCTTTCACGTGAGACACTTGATATTCAAACCCAACTCTTTTACTGCCATGGTCATTTATACGAAACACACTATACATTTTTTTCCCTTGAAACATATGATATTAAACCACATGCGAGTTTGGAATTTAGTATCACTATGACGAAAGGGTGTTCCTCCTCAAACTTCCCAAAGTTGAAAAAATTTCAAGTTTCACTTATGTAATGAAATATTGAATCGTATATTTCTTTTCATTATGTATGTAAAAACAAACCTGGCACTGAGAGAGGCGTTTATCCATAAATGTACATAGCAGTAAAAGAGTGAAGGCCAAAATGAAATTTACCTTGTCACATTTTTAAAGAACGAATTACTTTAAATATTCTTTTACTTTAGCTTTTTAATATATTTACTCAAATCTAAATATATCTTCAATTGTCATGTATTGTTTGTATCATAGATATTTTGTTTGTAATTAAGCACAAAGCTACACAATGGGCTATCAGTGCTCTGCCCACCACGGGTATCGAAACCCGGATTCTAGCGTCGTAAGTCCGGAGACATACCGCTGTGCCACTGGGGGACATCATAGATATTAATGATGCATTGTGTAAAATAGTCCGAAAACAAAAGAAACTGTCTTGTCAACGTCTTTATAGTTTGACTTCTACTGAAACTATGTCTTCATGAACACCATCATAGATATTAATGATGCATTGTGTAAAATAGTCCGAAAACAAAAGAAACTGTCTTGTCAACGTCTTTATAGTTTGACTTCTACTGAAACTATGTCTTCATGAACACCATCATAGATATTAATGATGCATTGTGTAAAATAGTCAGAAAACAAAAGAAACTGTCTTGTCAACGTCTTTATAGTTTGACTTCTACTGAAACTATGTCTTCATGAACACCATTTTTCTTTAGGAAAGTAAAGCTAGAGTAACTTGTACATATTTTTTATTTTATACCTGCTCATGTACTGTGCTTTTTTTTTCTTAAAATCGGTTTAAAAGGATTCGTGGTTTAAGCGTATCTTGCAATCACTTGTGCTAGATGTTTGTTTCCTTGAAAATTTATATCTTCACAAGAAAAGAGCAGATGACGAAAGTTATTGCATAATTCAAGTTAAATTAAAATGTTTTCTGTACATGTAACTACACGCCATATTTCATTTTCTGTTTTATTTTGCAGTTCGCCTGCATGACAGCATCCAAGAGGAATCTTTTCACTACTTAATATTTGACCTGTAAGTAATATTTGACCTGTATTGATAAAGTATTTTTGTACATAAAACTTGATGACAAAGGTTTTTATATTACTTTTGGTTTATATTAATAGGAAACTAAGTGTAAGCCTAGAATAATGCTTTGAGGTCATGAATGTAATATTATTTATTGCCGTATAAATTTGTATTAATTTCAGGCTGCAAATTTTCAACATAAATTTTAACACAAATTTGTTGATTTAACGAATTAATATGTTAAGATTTGCGTTAAAAACGGGATCTGTTGATACCTTGAATTGTTGTCGTTGATCACAAAGTTATATGAATATATATTTGAACTGAGGTAAATGTATTAGATGAATAAAATTATGATAACTGAATCATCCTATGCACCTTACCTGCTTTACCTATATTTAAGATGATTGTTTTAACTCTTTATAATAAATTCGTCTTGACGACGATTGATTCCACATTTTAAATCGGCATTCTCGCACAGAAGATAACCTCATTAAGACTTAACCACTTCAAAATTTAACCCTGATTATATTTGTAGGATACGCCTGGAACAAATCGGGCGCCAACTTTGGTGACTTGATCTAAATTTGTTGAAAAGAAACTGTAGTGTATTCTTAACATTTAACTTTTGAACATAATGTGCGCCACATTATCAGCATATGTAAAAGCATATGTTAGGCTATGGATCGAAGGGTACTTAGTTCGAGACGTAATGTTGATGAACACTCCTAATATATTCAGAAGTGTTAGTAAATCCAATTATTCAGTTCGAAAAAGTATGACAGAGTTATGGCGAGTGCTATTGGGTGTCTACTTTACCACTGGTCAGTAGTTTAAAATCAGGGACGGCTATCGTATGAATCTTATGGGTCTATGACCTTGCTGTTTAGCCCATATTCGCATAAGGTTGGACATTTCAATTCCATATCATCAAGGATAATTGAGCCCTCTTACTACATACGACTTTTTAATTTATCTTTATTAAATCCTAATGAAATGTCACTTTTGCCAGTACCCGTAATTTCTAAATTTTTACACTCCCAAAAAGTCCCTTCCACATTACATTAAAATATGTCTTGAATTTCGTGTTTCTACTCGTATTTGTTTAAATATTATAGCCTGAAATGCGATTTTAGATAAAATGACATTGATAATTCGTTAATTTTATAGCCTTAAATGCGATTTTAGATAAAATGACATTGATAACTCGTGTATAATTTTAAATGATTCGTCCTTCAAACTTTCTACCATTGCTGAATTAATTTCACTCAGCTTCATGAGATGTAGAAAATAATTTCTGTTGTATTTTACTGCTGAAGAACCAAGCACCAGTGGAAGTATTATTTACAAAATTAACTCATAAAATATGTCAATAGATATTAACTCCTGAAACAGGCTGTTTAAGTTTGAAAACAACTCTTAAAGTTTTTATTGTTGTTGTTGTTACTAAGATTATATGCCTTTCATGGAAACGGAAATAATAAGACATTTTTCACTGGTGAAAATGTCTTTCATTTTAATTACGTTCATTTCTAATAACTAACTCGACGTGCTAGAAATATTAACTTGGCTGTGTGAAAGGTCAAGTTTATATTATATTACACGTCAACGGATCTTCATTCGCAAAGTTGTTCCAACAGCTTGGTTGTCATTAAGAGAACGTGCTTCCATTTTAATGTCTTTGTTGTTTCTTTGCCTTTCGAATTTAGAACTCACCCACCACTGTAACATAACAAAATGTATTCGCGAATATCTTCCTGTGACCACATTCCTTTCATTTTTGATGTGATCATGCTGGCAATTAGCAATAAAAATAAATAAACTATCCGTGGTCGCTTCCTACGCAAATGACTTTAATACTTATATAATAGGACTGGGATTACTTATGGAACACTCTTACCTTAGTTCTTGAGTTGGAAACGAAGAAAAACATTTCATATGTTATGGTATTCTAGGCCTACAACTACCCGCTTAGAATGATAATGACGTTCTCTGCATGCTGGAGATGAAGCCTAATGGCATGTGGATTTTCTGAGTATGCAAGCGGAGTAAAAAGACTATTTATGTGTTACAGAACCATTATTGAAATTGAATATATATATATATATATATATATATATATATATATA